AGATGGGGCGCGGCAGGAGGGGCCGGACCTGGATGTGACACGCAGAGAAGCTTCCAGAAAGGAGCTGCGTGGGGTCGAGGAGCGGGGAGGGTCGGCCGCCTGCGGAGACCTGGCCGCGGAGGGGCTGGTGGCGCCGAGGGCACCCGAGGGAGAGGCGTCGAGGGGTCACGCAGCCGAGGGGTCACGCAGCCGGGCCTGACCCTGCTTAACTGCCCGGCCCTGGGGGGAGGGAGGGGGCAGGTCGCACAATGGAAGGGCTGGGCGCAAGGTCATTAGCCGGGGGCTGGTGCCAGGGGGCGGGCCTGGGCAGCCCTTCCGAGGGGGGGTGCCCGACTCTTTTATGTACCAGTTGGGCCACTTGGGCAGAAAAGTTGCTCGTCCCCTGGTGGCCTGCGGTTCCGCACTCAGCCGGTCGGGGCTTTCCGCTGCAGGGAGAGCCGTGACGCCGGGCTGGCCTGGGTCCTGGCCGCCTTCATCCTGCGGCCAGACGCGGAGAGTGGGCGGGAGGTGGCTAGCGGCCACCCGCGGGACGCAGGTCTGGCCCCGGGGAACGGCCAGCCAGCCAGAGCTGGAGGCACCGAGGCCGGCCCAGCTCCCTGTGCTCAGGAGCCTTGGCCGGCACGATGGGCTGCAAAGGGGAAGTGGGCCTTGGCCCGCCCTTGAGGGTGAGGCGGGTCGGCTGGGGAAAGGGACATTCTGCCCGCCTGCGGGTGTTCAGCTGACCTGGCAGTCGGGGGACGTTTCTGTTCAGCGCCCTCTGCGTAGACTTGATTGAACGGCTTTGGGGACACCCCCAGGCCCGGCCTCTGGCTTGCCCCAGTGACTGGGCCGCTGGCAGGGCTCGCTGTCCCCCTGCGGGGGGGAGTTTTGCCCCTGCTGGGCCTGGGCCTCCCGTGGGGGACTGGCCAGGCCCAGAGGTTGTTGCAGGCTGGGGCTGAGGGGGCGGCAGGGGCGCTGAGCTGGCGGGGTCGTGGCCCGCTCGGCCGCCGCCCACCCTGTGGCGGCGCTGATAAGCCCGCCGGGCGGCGTCCCACTGACCGAACGGTGGGGCAGGGCTGGCTGGTGCCGGCTGGTCCCCTGGCAGGCCGAGCAGCCGTGCCCTCAGTCGATGCGGGTGCAGGCCCGCGCGCTGTGCCCA